AGGGACAGACAGAATTGTTACTGAGGGCCACAGAATTGTTACTGAGGGCCACAGAATTGTTACTCAGGACAGACACAGAATTGTTACTCAGGGACACAGAATTGTTACTGAGGGCCACAGAACCGTTACTTAGGGCCACAGAATTGTTACTCAGGGACACAGAATTGTTACTGAGGGCCACAGAACTGTTACTTAGGGCCACAGAATTGTTACTCAGGGACACAGAATTGTTACTGAGGGCCACAGAACTGTTACTTAGGGCCACAGAATTGTTACTCGGACAGACACAGAATTGTTACTCAGGGACACAGAATTGTTACTGAGGGCCACAGACAGGGCACAGAATTGTTACTTAGGGCCACACAAACGTTACTCAGGGACACAGAATTGTTACTGAGGGCCACAGAACCGTTACTTAGGGCCACAGAATTGTTACTCAGGGACAGACACAGAATTGTTACTGAGGGACACAGAATTGTTACTGAGGGCCACAGAACCGTTTACTTAGGGCCACAGAATTGTTACTCAGGGACAGACACAGAATTGTTACTCAGGGACACAGAATTGTTACTCAGGGACACAGAATCGTTGAATTAAAGAGTATGTCAGACAACATGCAGAGGAGTGGCAGAGGAGGAGGCATGTTTTAGGAGCGAGCAGACGTGGCAGCAGAGGAAGGGGTCGAGGCAGCACTATTCGCAGCCAGAGGCCAGTGCTCCCGGTGTCATCCAGCGGTCGTGTCTCCACCGACAACCCTGCCGTCATCGATTGGTTGGCTCGGTCGTCTTCCTCTTCCCAGGTCACCTCTGACACCTACAGCCAACGGTCGGTGGGTACGTCAGACACAACCGTTAGTTGGCATGGCCCGGGACCAAGCCCACTGAAATCACGTGTCCTCTACCTGCCCCTGTCCTTTGGTGTTCCCTCACCAAGCGAAGTATCGCATGCTGTGGGCTCAGCCCCACTGTACAGTGAGGAAGAGCTAACAGAGGGCGGTCAGGAACGGGGGGAGACATCCGCCTTTTCAGCAGCCAGGCGAAGAAGTAGTGGCGAGGAGAGTGGCTCGGTAGCCGGTCTAGAGACAGGTCTGTCTCCTGACCCACACGCAGCCGAGGGGGCTAGTAGTGAGGCGGAGACCCTACTTGATGATGAGGAGGTTGATCGCACTTGGCAGCCTCGTCGTCATCAGGCAATTTCTTCCGCATCATCAGGAGAAGAGGGTGGCAGCTTGGCAGCGAGCGAAAACAGTCGGTGGGTTGCCCAGGAGGCAGCAGGGTCGCAGCAGTGTCAGTGGAGCCAAACGGCCACGGAGTAGAGCACCAGCTCCACTGCAGCCTACCACCACGGCCAGTAGTGGTGCCGGTGTGCACGGAGGAAGCAGCAGTCAGCCAGTGAGGAGTATCGGGGGCAAAGTTTCCTACTCGGCGGTGTGGCAATTTTTTGTCAAGCCGCCCGAGGAAGTAAACGTAGCCGTATGTCGACTATGTGGCCAGAAAGTCAAGCGTGGCCAGGGGGCCCATGTTGGGACTACAGCGTTGCGGCAGCATATGCAGCGTCGCCATTTGGTGGCCTGGGAAAACCGTGATAAAGATACGGCGGTTCTGCCCGCCCCAGCCCCCGCTCCATCACCCGCTCCGTTACTTGCTCCGTCACCCGACGTCAATCGCCCTCCATCAGCCAGTCAAGGCTCCAACACCTCTGCTGAGGGGAGTTGTCGCTCGTTGGCATCTTCCGCTCGTTCAGATGCTCCTTCTCCTGCTACTCCTCTTCACGGATTCCGTCAGCAGTCTTTCTTGGAATCCGTTTCCAAGAGACAACAGTTTGCGAGCACGCACCCGACGGTGCAAAAGCTGAACGTCCTCCTGTCCAAGTTGCTGGTGCTGCAGTCCCTCCCTTTCCAAGTGGTGGACTCAGCACCTTTCCGAGAAATGATGGCTTGTGCCGCGCCGCGGGTGGGTGGAGAGTGCCAAGCCGTCATTTCTTCGCCAAAAAGGCAGTGCCAGCCCTGCATTCACATGTAGAAGAGATGGTGGGCCAGTCTTTGAGCATGTCGGTCTCTGCCAAAGTGCACGGCAGCGCCGACGTGTGGAGCTGTAACTACGGTCAGGGGACAGTACATGTCATTTACGGCCCCCACTGGGTGAACGTGGTGCCGTCACAGCCGCACCAGCAACTTGGACAGGTCACGCCGCTTTGCCTCCACGTTTGCACGTCCTTGGTCCAGCAAAGATGTCCGCCTCTACCACCTCTTCTTCCGCCGTGTCCTCAGCCGCCACCCCCGTGCCAAGTCCCATTACCCGACCGGCATATCACATGTGCAGGGCGCAACGGTGTCACGCTGTGCTGCACCTGGTATGCCTTGGCGAACGTAGTCACACAGGGGAGGAACTTCTCAGTGTAATGAACAGAGAAATCGACAGATGGCTGTCTCCGCGCAAACTGAAAATCGGAACCATGTTGACCGACAACGGAAAGAACATGGTGTCTGCTCTGCGTCAAGGAAGGTTGTGCCATGCGCCATGCATGGCTCACGTGTTCAATCTGGTTGTCAAGCGGTTCCTAAAATCCACCATCCCACTGCAAGACATCCTTAAAATGTCACGTAAACTTTGCATGCATTTCAGCCATTCCTACACCGCAAAGCACACCCTCCTTGAGCTGCAGCGGCAGAACGGAATTCCACAGCATCGCCTGATCTGCGACGTTGCAACAAGGTGGAATTCAACCCTACACATGTTAGACCGCCTTTACGAACAGCGAAAGGCCATCACCGATTTCCTGATGTTACAAGCGGATAAAGGTACTCCCCTGTGTAACTTTGATGTCAGCCATTGGCAGCTCATGCGTGACACCTGCCGCTTGCTCAGGCCCTTTGAGGAGGCCACGCTATTCGTGAGTCGGCAGGACTATGGGGGATGAACGACGTCATTCCTCTGTTGCACGTCCTGGAACAAATGCTGTTAACAATGGCTGGTCAGGGTGCGGTAGACGTGGCGCACAGATCTCAACGCCACATGACCCCTGTGGGGGCAGGACAGGACAGGAAGAAGAGGAGGAGGTAGAGAGGAGGACATTTGTGCTCAGGAATTATTGAGTGAAATGGGTGGTTTTTCCACTCAGCGGACAGGAGTGGAGGAGCAGGAGCATCTGGTAGAGGAGGAGGAGGAGGAGACAGAGGACCCAGACGCACCGTGGCAGTATGCTGTGGAGATGGAGGCAGGGAGTCCCTCGCATTCCTTGGCACAAATGGCCCATAGCATGCTCGGTTGCTTGCGTAGCGACAGCCGAATAATAACCATCAGACAGAGGGATGACTTTTGGCTGTCCACCTTGTTGGACCCTCGCTACCGTTCAAAAATGGTGGCCTTTTTCACACCTGCTGAGAGGGAGGCCAAAATAACGTACTATAAAAACCACCTATGTAGTCAGTTGGTCTCTGCCTTTGTGCGCCAACGTCCATCCTCAGACACTGTGGGCCCTGTGCGCTCGCGTTCCGCTGCCATGGCAGCAGGGGAGGGGTGGGGTGGTAGGAGCAGTGGCAGCTCCACCAGCAGCGGCTGCCTCAGTCTGCAGTCGATGATGAGTAGCTTTCTTCACCAGCGCAGTGAGGAAACTACTAACCAGCCAGCAGCAGCAGCAGCAGCAGCATCAGGTGGACCTGGAGCAGGACCTCAAACAACAGGCTTGGGCCTACTTGGACAGCACCCTGCCAACCGAGGTAGACAATCCCCTTGACTACTGGGCAACGAAACTTGACCTTTGGCCCCAACTAGCTGAATTTGCCCTTGAAAGGCTGTCATGCCCGGCCAGTAGCGTGGCATCGGAGCGCGTGTTTAGTGCGGCAGGAGGTATTGTAACTCCGCGGAGGACACGACTGTCCACCCAAAGTGTGGAGAGACTCACGTTTGTGAAAATGAATCAGGCGTGGATTAGTCTGGATTTCAAACCACCAGTTCCTGACACAACTGACTAAATCCGCCATGAATCATGCCCAAACATGTGCCACTTTCAGGTCTCCTCACACACTGCTGGTGTGTGTTCCATTTTTTGTCATAGGGTGCTGGCAGATTACGGGCCTCCCATAGCTGCTGCCAGGCCCCTAATCTGCCATGGGCCCCTATACCGCCTCCTCATGCTGCTGCCAGGTCCAGAGTGTCTCTCATGGGTCCCTGTACGGCCTCCCATGCTGCTGTCTCCATCGCCACACTCTGCCATGTGCCACTTTCAGGTCTCCTCACACACTGCTGGTGTGTTCAATTTTTTGACATAGGGTGCTGGCAGATTACGGGCCTCCCATAGCTGCTGCCAGGCCCCTAATCTGCCATGGGCCCCTATATACCGCCTCCTCATGCTGCTGCCAGGTCCAGAGTCTCTCATGGGTCCCTGTACGGCCTCCCATTGCTGCTGTCTCCATCGCCACACTCTGCCATGTGCCACTTTCAGGTCTCCTCACACACTGCTGGTGTGTGTTGAATTTTTTTTGACATAGGGTGCTGGCAGATTACGGGCCTCCCATAGCTGCTGCCAGGCCCCTAATCTGCCATGGCCCCTATACCGCCTCCTCATGCTGCTGCCAGGTCCAGAGTCTCTCATGGGTCCCTGTACGGCCTCCCATTGCTGCTGTCTCCATCGCCACACTCTGCCATGTGCCACTTTCAGGTCTCCTCACACTGCTGGTGTGTGTTTGATTTTTTTTTGACATAGGGTGCTGGCAGATTACGGGCCTCCCATATAGCTGCTGCCAGGCCCCTAATCTGCCATAGGGCCCCTATATACCGCCCGCCTCCTCATGCTGCTGCCAGGTCCAGAGTCTCTCATGGGTCCCTGTACGGCCTCCCATTGCTGCTGTCTCCATCGCCACACTCTGCCATGTGCCACTTTCAGGTCTCCTCACACTGCTGGTGTGTGTTTTTTTTTGACATAGGGTGCTGGCAGATTACGGGCCTCCCATAGCTGCTGCCAGGCCCCCTAATCTGCCATGGGCCCCTATATACGCCTCCTCATGCTGCTGCCAGGTCCAGAGTCTCTCATGGGTCCCTGTACGGCCTCCCATTGCTGCTGTCTCCATCGCCACACTCTGCCATGTGCCACTTTCAGGTCTCCTCACACACTGCTGGTGTGTTGAATTTTTTGACATAGGGTGCTGGCAGATTACGGGCCTCCCATTGCTGCTGCCAGGCCCCTAATCTGCCATGGGCCCCCGTACCGACTCCTCATGCTGTGACGTTGCAACAAGGTGGAATTCAACCCTACATATGTTAGACCGCCTTTACGAACAGCAAAAGGCCATCACAGATTTCCTGATGTTAAAAGCGGATAAAGGTACTCCCTGTGTAACTTAGATGTCAGCCATTGGCAGCTCATGCGTGACACCTGCGCTTGCTCAGGCCCTTTGAGGAGGCCACGCTATTCGTGAGTCGGCAGGACTATGGGATGAACGACGTCATTCCTCTGTTGCACGTCCTGGAACAAATGCTGTTAACAATGGCTGGTCAGGGTGCGGTAGACGTGGCGCACAGATCTCAACGCCACATGACCCCTGTGGGGGCAGGACAGGAAGAAGAGGAGGAGGTAGAGGAGGACATTGGTGCTCAGGAATTTATTGAGTGAAATGGGTGGTTTTTCCACTCAGCGGACAGGAGTGGAGGAGCAGGAGCATCTGGTAGAGGAGGAGGAAGAGGAGACAGAGGACCCAGACGCACCGTGGCAGTATGCTGTGGAGATGGAGGCAGGGAGTCCCTCGCATTCCTTGGCACAAATGGCCCATAGCATGCTCGCTTGCTTGCTTGCGTACCGACAGCCGAATAATAACCATCAGACAGAGGGATGACTTTTGGCTGTCCACCTTGTTGGACCCTCGCTACCGTTCCAAAATGGTGGCCTTTTTCACACCTGCTGAGAGGGAGGCCAAAATAACGTACTATAAAAAACCACCTATGTAGTCAGCTGGTCTCTGCCTGTCTGCGCCAACGTCCATCCTCAGACACTGTGGGCCCTGTGCGCTCGCGTTACGCTGCCATGGCAGCAGGGGAGGGGTGGGGTGGTAGGAGCAGTGGCAGCTCCACCAGCAGCGGCTGCCTCAGTCTGCAGTCGATGATGAGTAGCTTTCTTCACCAGCGCAGTGAGGAAACTAATAACCAGCCGCAGCAGCAGCAGCAGGCAGCATCAGGTGGACCTGGAGCAGGACCTCAAACAACAGGCTTCATGGCCTACTTGGACAGCACCCTGCCAACCGAGGTAGACAATCCCCTTGACTACTGGGCAACGAAACTTGACCTTTGGCCCCAACTAGCTGAATTTGCCCTTGAAAGGCTGTCATGCCCGGCCAGTGCGTGGCATTGGAGCGCGTGTTTAGTGCGGCAGGAGGTATTGCAACTCCGCGGAGGACACGACTGTCCACCCAAAGTGTGGAGAGACTCACGTTTGTGAAAATGAATCAGGCGTGGATTAGTCTGGATTTCAAACCACCAGTTCCTGACACAACTGACTAAATCCGCCATGAATCATGCCCCAAACATGTGCCACTTCAGGTCTCCTCACACTGCTGGTGTGTTCCATTTTTTGTCATAGGGTGCTGGCAGATTACGGGCCTCCCATAGCTGCTGCCAGGCCCCTAATCTGCCATGGGCCCCTATACCGCCTCCTCATGCTGCTGCCAAGTCCAGAGTCTCTCATGGGTCCCTGTACGGCCTCCCATTGCTGCTGTCTCATCGCCACACTCTGCCATGTGCCACTTTCAGGTCTCCTCACACTGCTGGTGTGTTCAATTTTTTGACATAGGGTGCTGGCAGATTACGGGCCTCCCATAGCTGCTGCCAGGCCCCTAATCTGCCATGGGCCCCTATACCGCCTCCTCATGCTGCTGCCAAGTCCAGAGTCTGTCATGGGTCCCTGTACGGCGCCTCCCATTGCTGCTGTCTCCATCGCCACACTGTGCCATGTGCCACTTTCAGGTCTCCTCACACTGCTGGTGTGTTGAATTTTTTGACATAGGGTGCTGGCAGATTACGGGCCTCCCATAGCTGCTGCCAGGCCCCTAATCTGCCATGGGCCCCTATACCGCCTCCTCATGCTGCTGCCAGGTCCAGAGTCTCTCATGGGTCCCTGTATGGCCTCCCATTGCTGCTGTCTCCATCGCCACACTCTGCCATGTGCCACTTTCAGGTCTCCTCACACACTGCTGGTGTGTTTCATTTTTTGTCATAGGGTGCTGACAGATTACGGGCCTCCCATTGCTGCTGCCAGGCCTGTAATCTGCCATGGGCCCCTGTACCGCCTGGTCACGCTGCTGCTGGGTCCACAGTGTGACATGGGTCCCTGTACCGCCTCCCATTGCTCCCACTCTGCCATGTGCCACTTTGAGGTCTCCTCACACTCCTGCTGTTTTCCATTTTGTCATAGGTTGCTGGCAGATTACAGGCCCCATAGGTGCTGCCAGGCCCCAAATCTGCCATGGGCCCCCGTACCGCCTCGTCACGCTGCTGCTGGGTCCACAGTGTGACATGGGTCCCTGTACCGCCTCCCATTGCTCCCACTCTGCCATGTGCCACTTTGAGGTCTCCTCACACTCCTGCTGGTTTCCATTTTGTCATAGGTTGCTGTATGGCCTCCCATTGCTGCTGCCTCCACCGCCACACTGTGGCTCCAAACACTGGTTTTGGCCCCGTGACTGGCCAAATGAGTGAAGTGTGCGGTGATTCTAAGATCGACGGCACTCATCTGCATGTCATACTGACTGACAGTATTATTTCTATTCCCCAGCAGACTCCAAGGGCATTTAAATTAAAGGTACAGTGTTCTGCACTAATATTAAGTCTCTCTGAAGCCTAGAAACACCCTTTTTAAGTTAAATTCACAGCGAATATATTCGACTCGAATCGAATATTGTCCACGAATTCGCCGAATCAGTCGAATCGAATTTTTGAATACTTCGCTCATCTCTAAACACGACAGCCAAAGCTAAGTACACTGACTGGGGAATGATGTATTCTTGTGCATAGGTATGGTGGTACTCATGGGTTCTTTTGGTATTTGAGATTCAGCATGGAAGGGGTGAGTGATGGTATAGACAAATGAGGTTTGGAACAAGGCAGTGCATATGGGATTTTTGTAGTGAGGAAAAGGCAGTGCATATGTGATTTTTGTAGTGAGGAAAGGGGTGCTTATTTTCTAGCTGCTTGAATTTAGGCAGTCCAACAAATTAAAAAATATATACACTTTACTGGAAAATAGTGCATGTCATGGATGGTGAAAACACTCAAAACACATGGATAAATTGTATCATGACAGGTTTAGAGAGGGAAGAAAATTAGAAAATTAGAAAAACAACTTCACTCAAATTACAAACCACCTTACTTCTACATTCTGCTGAAACAATGGCACCTTTATAAAATACATTATACGAGTGGGTTAATGGAATACCACTACAAACAGCATTTGGATCAGTTTTGCAGAGCTAGAAACAGAAGCTGATGCTGAGCAAAACAAGTAGTGCCATTTATTTCAATCCTGGAACTCTCCAGCAGTGTTTAGCTAGCACAGATTGGTGTATAGTACCATCTCTTTATTTGGCATGCATCTGCTACAGCAATGAACTAAGTGCCCCTGCTGATACCATGATGGGCTACATCATTCCTTCAAGGCAGATTTTCCTTCATTAATATGGATTCTATTTTTAAAACGAGTTGGAAAACAAGTCTGATTTTCGGCTCACTCCCAGCAAGCTTAATTAAATTAGGGTGAATCTTTCAGACATAAAACTCTGAGGGACTATTTAAACCCCATTTTGCAAGGCAAAGTGCAATGTGAAGGAATTAAGAACTTGGATTATCTCAGGCCTGTTTTATAAAAAGAAGAAAGTAGAGTAACCCTTATCAACCAATCAGCTATTACTTTTCATTGTTCTGACTTTAGTAACTAAAATCTGATCAGTTTCTGTAGGCGTCTGTTTCTTTGAACATGCTCATTACTGAACTGTTTTAATTAATGAGTATTGTAAACATTATCTGAATAATAAAGAATAAGTCAAGTAAATGTATTTCACAATTATTTTAAACTTTAGTGTCAATGAATAGAAACATGCACTTGTTTGCACCAAAACGTTTTGTGCCATTTGCATGTTCATCAGGCTTTCCCAAATGTTGTGTTGCATTCTTTCTACTCCTCCCTTATGCTTTCCCAGACTTTCCCACAGTCAGACAGAAAGTCATTATTATTATTATTATACAGGATTTAAATAGTGCCAACAGTTTGCACAGCACTTTACAATATAAAGGGATACAGTAGAATTACAATACAGTTCAGTACAGAAGGAATAAGAGCGCTGCTCATGGAGCTTACAATCTAAAGGAAGGGGGAGGTGGTACAAAAAGTGGTAGCTGCAGGGGATGATCTGATGGAGGTGGCTCAGGTACGGTTCTTAGGTGGAGGTGGGGTAGGCTTCCCTGAATAAGTGAGTTTTCAAAGATCTCCTAAAGGCAGACAGGATGGGGGCTGACTGGACATACTGGGATAGGAAGTTACAGAGGTTGGGAGAGGCTCTGGAGAAGTCCTGGAGGTTAGCATGGGAGGAGGTGACAAGGAAGCTAGAGATCAAGATGTCTTGGGAGGAGTGGAGAGGGCGATTTGGACAATATCTGCGGATGAGGTTGGTGATGTAGCTAGGGGCAGTGTTGTAAATGACTTTGTATGTTGTAGTTAGTATTTTAAATTGTATACGTTGGGTTAGTGGATGTCAGTGAAGGGATTGGCAGAGAGGGGCAGCAGTCGCCGATCAGATGGTAAGGTGTATAAGTGTAGCAGCAGCATTCATAACAGACTGAAGGGGGGATAGCCTGTGTAATGGTAGGCCAGTGAGGAGGGAGTTGCAGTAATCAAGGTGGGATATAACCAAGGCGTGGATACTTTTTTTGTGGTGTCATGCAACACTCTACCCATAGAAATGTTTATCATTTTTTTCACACATATAGAGCTTTCCTTTGGTGGTATTTAATCACCACTGTATTTTTTATATTTTGTTAAACAAATTATAAAAGACCGACAATTTTTAAACAAACAGTTTTTCTTTGTTTCTATTATAAAATTTTGCAAACAGGTAATTTTTCTCCTTCCCTGATGTGCATTGATGAGGCTGCACTGATAGGCAGCACTGATGAGCATTGATAGGCTACACTGATGAGGCATTGATGAGGAGCCACTGATGAGGATGTACTGATATGGGGCACTGGTGGGCATGGGCATTGATAGGCGGCAATAATGTGCACTGATAGGCAGCACTAACTGGCGGCACTGATAGGAAGCACTGACTGGCAGCACTGATGGGCACAGATTGGCAGCAGTGATGGGCAGAGATTGGCAGCACTGATAGACACAGAGTGGCAGCACTGCTGGGTACAGATTGGCAGCACTGCTAAACACTGATAGGCAGCTCTGCTAGGCACTGATGGGCAGCACTGTTGGGCACGTTTGGGGCTGCACTGATAATCAGTGTAGATGTCTGCTTTCACAGTTGCTGGTTATCGGCAGTACTTTCCTCACGCTGTGACAGCAAGTGTTTTTACATGATGATCAGCTGTGATTGGACACAATTGATCACATGGAAAAAGGCTGCTGTGATTGGCCCTTTACCATGCCATGTGATCGACTGTGTCCTAAGGACACAGCGATCACAGAGAGAGCTCAATGTGCGCTACTGGGGGTGCGTGGGGGGCGCGTTTTCGGAGGACAGCATATGATGCCCTCCCAGAACTGGACAACTGTGCTGTAGCCATTGTTCATCTATAGCGCGGTCAAGAAGTGGTTAAGAAAAAGTGGGGCCCCCACATGTTTGTGAAAAAAAAGCCCCACAATGTAAATACACTGTCAGTCATGTCATCTAGTGATGCAGAAACTCATTTACAATGAAAAACATCTCTGCTTGCTGACACGTCTGATCCCGTCCCTTCACTAGGAACAAATTACATCTTCCTGTCCCTGCTGCTTAACCACTTGCCTACCAGGCACTTATACCCCCTTATTTACCAGGCCAATTTTCAGCTTTCAGCGCTGCCACACTTTGACAATTGCGCAGTCATGCAATATTGTACCCATATGAAATTTTGATCATTTTTTTCTCACAAATAGAGCTTTCTTTTGGTGGTATTTAATCGCCACTGGGCGCTTTACTTTTTGCGCTATAAATAAAAAAAGTGCAAAAAATTTGAAAAAATATAAAGTTTCTTTGTTTCTTTTATAAAATTTTTCAAACAGGTATTGTTTCTCCTTCACTGATGTGCGTTGATGAGGCAGCACTGATGGGCACTGATAGGCAGCACTAAAGGGCACTGATAGGCAGTACTAATGAGGTGGCACGGATAGGCGGCACTGATAGACAGCACTAATGAGGTGTCACGGATAGGCGGCACTAATATGCAGCACTGATAGGTGACACTGATTATGGGTACTGAAAGACAGCACTGACTGGCATCACTGCTGGGCACTGACTGACGGCACTGACTGGCATCACTGCTGGGCACTGACTGGCGGCACTTACTGGCACAACCCCTGGACACTGACTGGTGGCACTGACTGGCAGCACTGCTGGGCTGCACTGGTGGGTGGCACTGGTGGGCAGCACTGGTGGGTGGGCACAGGTGAGTGGCACTGGTGGGCACAGGTGGGTGGGCACAGGTGGGTGGCACTGCTGGGCACAGGTAGGTGGCACTTCTGGGCACAGGTAGGTGGCACTGCAGAGTGGCAAAGGTGGGTGCACTGCTGGGCACGGGTGGGCGGAGCTAGTGGGCGCACTGCTGGGCGGAACTTGCGGGTGTCACTGCTGGGCACCGATCATCAGGGCACTGATCATCAGTGCCCTGATGATCGGTGCCAATCCCCGCTCTGACAACTGCCGGTTCTCGGCAGTACTTTCCTCACGATCTGACAGCGTGAGGAAAGTGCAGCCGAGAACCGGCACTTGCATTTCCCTGTAATCAGCGTGTCATTGGACACCGCTGATCACGTGGTAAAAGGCCGGTGTGATTGGCCTTTTACCACATCACGTGATCAGCTGTGTCCGTAGGACACAGGGATCACGGAGATCGCCGGGTGCGCGCCCCCTGGGGCGCGCAGGAGAGCCCGTTCTGGGAGGACATCATATGACGTCCACCCAGAACTGGCCGGCCGCAGTGCAGCCGTCATTCGGCTATCTGTGGTCGGCAGCTAGTTAAGTAAACAAAGGGGCAGGGTCTCTCAGGCAATTGCTGTCAAGATCAATGGGTATTTCTGTAAGAAATAATGCAGCCACTGCATCTAAGAGACACTAAAATGCAATATATTCTATTTTTGTCCTTGGGGTTCAATATCCTTTGCCCGTCACCATATAGTAGAAATACTGCTAGAGGGTGGCAGGGCTACACAAAATAATATACAGTATATATATATATATATATATATATATATATATATATATATACACAAGATTTTGAATTTCAGGGTATTGGCAGCTTCAGCTGACGATCACCGGTCCCGGCCAGTGATTCCCCACTGGCAACCGGCGATCTCAGAGTTTCACTGGTGGGGGAGAGGTCTGTATGTAAACAATACA